GAAACAAAAATAGTAGAAAATAGTCAAACAAAAAAAAAAAATAAAAAAAAATCAAATGAGCACAAGAAAAACTGAACTAAATGGACTCCAGCAGCTGACTTTTCATTAATTTCTTAAAAGAAACAACCGGTTTGGATCGATAGCTACTGTTGACTGCATTGTAATGCTTGACAGCATTATAGCTGTAACTTCTTTCAAAGACCGAGGTATTGTGAAGAGGCATGTTAAAATTAGCATTAAATCTAAGAGCTCTGGTAACAAAACTACCTCGGTGAACTAATTTGCTAGCGAGGTAAGCTGGTCTGTTAGATAGTAGAACTTTATGCGTGAAGACGGTCAAAAGATATAAAATAACAATTCGCAACCAGTTGAGTTCTTTGATTTTATCTGAGACGCGACTAAACTTGCGCAATCCAAAAATAAACCTACAACAGCTGTTCTGAATTTTCTGGAGTTTCCTTTTGTGGACGTAGTCTAAACATGGGTAATAAAGAACAAGAGAGTAAGAAATGACCGACAACACAAGACTTTCAGCGAACTTTTTTCGGGTTTTAAAATTCAAGATGTATTGATTAGAATAGAGGAGTTTCAAACGCAAATACGTTACTCTAGATAAGAAAGAGACATTGCCGATCGAATCTCATATTTAAATCAAGGGTAACACCGAGATTCTTGGCGTAATCCATAAAATGGATGAGTGTCTTATCCAAAAAAACACAAATCCTCTGCTTCATTTCACGGTAGGAGTTTTTCGAACAGTACAACATTGCAGTAGTTTTATTGGGATTGATCTTCAAGCAGTGTTTGTTACAGTAATCACCGATGTTAGCCAAATCTAAATTAACTTTAATAGAAACTTCATCAACCCTTGATGGATCGAAACCAAACACTAACTGAGTATCATCTGCATAAGTTTGCATACTACAGTGGACTAAACAGTCTTGCAGATCGATCGTATAAATCAGGTATAGTAAGGGACCTAATACTGAGCCCTGAGGAACTCCTGAAGGACTGGCTCAGAGGAGGAAATTCCCTGATCAGTTTTCACTGTTTGTTGACGATTTAGCAAGTATGACTCAAAGAACCTTAGAACTATATCTGACATTCCATAATGACATAACTTACTCAGTAGTATCTAACAGTACCAAGACGGTGTTGATGTGATTGTCTAAATTGTGAATGATGGAATCAGTAAGATGTAATAAAGACGAAGTAGTGCTGTAACCAGCTCTGAAACCTGACTGATGTAGAGGAAATAAGTGATTTTGTTCGAAAAACTCCACTAGTTGTGAGTAGACAGCTCTTTCGAGTATTTTTGATAGAAAGCATAATAAGGTAATTGGCCTGAGATCCGAATATTGTTCTGGATGATTAGTTTTAGCTATTGGAATAATAATACCATTTTTCCAACTGGCAGGAAAGTAACCTGTTTCGAGACAGACATTAATAATGTGAGTTATATGGTCTATGGTATCAGGCAAACATAAGCAAACCATATTTAAAGTTAGACCATCAGAGCTACATGCCGTAGACTTAATGTGAGAGATTATAATGACGATGTCTTGCTGAGTAAGGAGTTTAAAAGCAAACAGAGGTGCATCCGGTGTATGGCGTCTATCGCTATAAGAGTTAGAGACACTATCAATCAAATTTGGATCAGCTGCAGCTGTCTGGAAAATTGAAAGAAAATAATTATTTAAAATGTTAGGCTCAAGGAGACTCGGAGGTATCGCAACATGTTTCTGGGCTACCACATTCATCCTCCTCAGGTGTTTCCAAGCTTGACTAGAGTTAAGATTCCGGAAACGTGACATATATGCTTTTTTCTCTCTTCTAAGCGATGCAAGGGCATAATTTCTGAAATCTTTGTAGCTGGCCCAATTCTGATCAGATCTGTTATGCTGATAGACAGCGAATGCCTCATCTCTGAGTTGAAAAATCATTTTCAAGTTAGGAGTGAGCCAGGGTGCAGCAGGTTTTGTGACACGTATTGTGTGTAGCGGAGCGTAGTGATCGAATAGATAAAGAAGACGGCCAATAAAAATAGAGACTTTAATATCCACATCATTCACGAAATAAATGTCATTAAGCTGCATTGATGCAATGTGCGTCTTAAAACTTTGAATATCAATGCTATTAAGATTTCTATATGTTACAAATTTAGGCTCTATTTTTTTATAACAAACGGAAATATCACAGTATGTGAGCCGATGATCACTAATAGAGTCTGCATTGAGTGTCCCTGACCTTTTGACGATAGTATTGTCACTAACAAATATTGGATCAAGTAATGTGGAACTTAAGGCTGTAACACGTGTAGGCTCATCAATGACTTGAATGAAATTGAATGAATTAAAGCAGCTGCTGAGGATGTTGTTATGAGCAAGCAAGTCGACATTCATATCGCCCAAGAATATAATGTTGTCATATTGGGGAGTGAAAAATGAGATAAGATTTTCTAAACACTGGATGGCTTGATGTATAGAGCAATGTGGTGGCCTATATACAGGGTGGCCAAACACGTGACGTCATAAAAAAAAATTAGATTCCCCACATCGAGAGGAACCCAAATCACCCCCATATATTATATGGTCCGATTTTGTTTAGTTTAGGAGTTATGATTTTTTTTCGGATTTTTCGAGAATTTTTGAGTTCTGTGTTTATTTTTACCATAACTTCGTTAATAATTGTGATAAATGCCTGCTTTTTTCACAATTATGTAGCTAAGACCTAAGGCTTAACTATCATATAATCATTCAAGTCATGTAACTAATACTACTTTGTAATTTTTTTCAAAATCTTCGAACATAACAAAAAAGTAAAAAAGTGCAACAACTTTGAACGTTTATAAAAAATTGAAAAAACATGTTCTTACTATTCGTAAGTATCTTAAAAACTTCCTTACGGTATCAGCTATTTACCGTAAAAATTTCATCAACCTAGCTTTACTACATGCTACCGTAATTGTGGCTCAAATAGAACCGAACCCAAAATTGGATAACCCTCTGCTCAATAGAAATTGTTAGTTTCGGAAAAAAAATTTGCAAAAACCACAAAAACACGTTTGATTTTTACTGAACAGCAGATTATTATTCATTTATGTTATTTACAAGAGGTTTTCAAAATGTCTGCCTCTAACAGAAATGCACAGTGTACACCTACGTATGAAATTTTGTTTTAAATCTCTAAATGCTTGTGTGTTGTTTTTCAACACATGTGTCGCTTCTTGAATTTTGTTCCTCAATGAATTTTCATTTGCACATTCTTGGGCGAATGTTATGTCTTTAAAATATCCCCAAACAAAAAAATCAATGGGGTTGAGGTCAGGGGAGCGTGGAGGCCATCGTATCGGTCCATTTCGTCCGATCCATCTCCTCTGGGAACCTTTCGTTTAAGTAGTTTCGCACGATCGTTGCGTTGTGGCATGGTGCACCATCATTCTGGAACACCATGTTCCGTCTGGCTTCCAGGCTTGAATCTTCCAGCAATAATGGTAGGCTATTTTCAAGGAACGGCGCTTTAGCAGCTCAGCTGTACCGGGAACAACTTATACGCCGAGGCGGACCACAACCTGAGCATTACCCAGACCACCGTGTTTTTATTAACACACATAACACTTTCATGGCAGGCCGCATTCCAGGACGAGGAAGCAATGAAGGATATCCTACAGCTGATCCGGATCGCAGAGAAGTAGTACTTGAAGAAATTAGCCGGAATCCCTCAACGAGTACGAGATCTATGGCACAAAACCTTAGAATACCACGAACATCGATACAAAATATTCTTCATGAAGAAGGTTATCATGCCTATCATGTTCAAAGAGTTCAAGCGTTGATGCCTTCAGATTACCAGTTAAGAGTGGATTTCTGCGAGACAATGCTGCGAAGACAACGAGAGGATCCCGATTTTTTTGATAAAATTTTATGGACTGACGAGTCACGTTTTGAAAGAACAGGGATATTCAATATCCATAATTTACATACTTGGGCTGTTGAAAACCCCCACCAGTCAAGGCCGTCGACATTTCAACACCGTTTTAGTGTGAACATGTGGTCAGGAATATTCAATATGGAATTTATCGGTCCATTTGAACCGCCGTCAAGGTTGGATTCGGTAGCCTACAAAAGCTTCCTTGAAAATAGCCTACCATTATTGCTGGAAGATTCAAGCCTGGAAGCCAGACGGAACATGGTGTTCCAGAATGATGGTGCACCATGCCACAACGCAACGATCGTGCGAAACTACTTGTGTACACTGTGCATTTCTGTTAGAGGCAGACATTTTGAAAACCTCTTGTAAATAACATAAATGAATAATAATCTGCTGTTCAGTAAAAATCAAACGTGTTTTTGTGGTTATTGCAATTTTTTTTCCGAAACTAACAATTTCTATTGAGCAGAGGGTTATCCACTTTTGGGTTCGGTTCTATTTGAGCCACAATTACGGTAGCATGTAGTAAAGCTAGGTTGATGAAATTTTTACGGTAAATAGCTGATACCGTAAGGAAGTTTGTAAGATACTTACGAATAGTAAGAACATGTTTTTTCAATTTTTTATAAACGTTCAAAGTTGTTGCACTTTTTTACTTTTTTGTTATGTTCGAAGATTTTGAAAAAAATTAAAAAGTAGTATTAGTTACATGACTTGAATGATTATATAATAGTTAAGCCTTAGGTCTTAGCTACATAATCGTGAAAAAAGCAGGCATTTATCACAATTATTAACGAAGTTATGGTAAAAATAAACACAGAACTCAAAAATTCTCGAAAAATCCGAAAAAAAATCATAACTCCTAAACTAAACAAAATCGGACCATATATATGGGGGTGATTTGGGTTCCTCTCGATGTGGGGAATCTAATTTTTTTTTTATGACGTCACGTGTTTGGCCACCCTGTATAACAACAATTAACATACTGGACCCGTGCAGTTTAAATTTATAGCATAACATTTCAAGAGGATTTATAAAGTCATCGAGCTCATATTATATATTGATTTCAGGCTCCCTCTGGTAAACTTTCCGTTTCCCGGCAAGGCGCCGCAGGTGTGGCCGGCGGGCCACAACTCTAGTGATACCCCGGAGCCCTTCTGCTATGTCCAGCAGGTGGTGATGCGGGTGACCGTCCTGCCGTGGGAACCGGACCTGAAGCTGGGCGATGCTTTCAGGGCGCCCCTCTACGAGGCCTTCCAACTGCTCGACATAGTTAGGAATTATCAAGATAACAACACGTGAGTACATTCACCAAGCCTCTCAACAGTAAATACAATATCACGCCGTTCTCCACCTTACCCTTCTATGACCATCGTGCGTACCTAGACAAAATCGCGATTCGTTGCTGAAGGTGACATTATGCCATTCTGCCTCCCATTGTTGACGTTCTCTGCTCCAGTTCAATCGTTAACGACAGTGGTCCGCAGTCAGAGGAAGCACTAACCGTGGACGGTATGAAAAAAGTCCAAAGGCTCGAATGCGGCGATAGAGTGTACGCATAGTAACAGGTCTACCTTCTTCTCCAAACCATTGGTCAGCGATCTGACGGGTAGTAGCAAAACGGTTTCGTAGGGCCACTTTTCTGAAGCGCCTATCTTGACGCTCTGTAGTGTGGCTCGGTGGACCAGTTGGCCTTCTTCGTATTACTCCACCTTCTTCTATCCACACACTACACACACGCATTACCGTTATTGCAGTACAATTAACACGGCGGCCAATTTTGCGATAGGACAAACCAACATATCGATAGGCAATAATTCTACCCCTGTTCAAAACTAAGAGATGACAACTTAACAAAGGTAAACAAAAACAAAGATAAAACGTTGTCATTGTTGCCACAGCTTGCGTTAAATATAATCATTATGTTACCAAAAAAAACAATTTGAAGAAATCATTTTTTCTAGGTGTAACACTTCTAATCTCACTGAGTATAAAATCAAATTCTAGTGGTTCAGATGGAATAATTTTACAAATGTTATACTATGTAGGTATATGTGGAATTTCTGTGTACTTAACACATATAATCATCTGCTGTTTATCGAGGGGATATTTCCCAGATCACTGGAAACACGCTATAGTTGTTCCTCTACCTGACTACGGTCAACTGAGACTGATCAGTTTCCCGCCTATTTTCTCAAAAGTATTGGAACTCGTTGTTTACGAGCAGCTCTGCGCCTACTTATATTCTAAGAAAATTATTCCATCTAAACAATCTGGATTTCGACAAGGTCGTAATACAGCTTTGGCACTCTGTGATTTAACAGACAATATAACAATTGCGCCTTGACAACCAGAAAGCAGTATCTCTCATACTTCTTCACTTTACTAAAGTATTTGACACAATTAATCATTCATTTCTTGTGCCTAAATGCAGTTATGGATTTTCTGAAAAACCTCTTTCTGTTATTCAAACCTACCTTGGAAATCGGTTTCAAAAAGCTCGTTCAAATCAACAGTACTCTACCGCACACAAAATTTATTCTGGTGTTCCACAGGGATCTGTGTTGGAACCCCTGTTAGTTTCATTATATATCTCAGATTTAGAAACGGAGATAAAATCATGCAGCATACAATTGTTTGTCGACGAAACTCAGATTTTCTATTCATTTAGGAGTCATGACTTGGAAACAGCTAATAATACAATTAATCAAGATGTGGCTCAAATTGAAAAGTTTGGCAGTAGTCATAATCTTCGTTTGAATCCTTTAAAGACAAATATGTTGGTATACGCAAATAAAACAAAAAAGAGTGATTTATGCCTTTACATTGATTATACGTTATTTTGTCGTTATTGTATGCAGATATTAATTTTCAACAAAATTTCGGTTTATATACATTTCATATTGTTAAGGGGGTTAGGAGGTAGGATAGATACAGGGTATTTCCAAAGTTGTCATTTATCTTAACAGCTTGTAGAACTCGTCAAAAAAAGTTGATATACCAAAAATCACCTATATAAAAATTGCATAATAAGAGATTTAGTTTACATTATTGAAAATTATTAAAAAAAATCATTATCAAGTTAAATGGATACCGGTTTTACAAAAAGTTTTCAAAATTATCCCCATTTGTTTGATTAACGCAAAATCTTGCTCGTCGAAACCACGATTCTTTATAAGCTTTGAAAATAAAATCCTGGTGTGCACGAATTAAATCACAAGCATTTTTAGTGCGTTGTTGAAGTTCTTCCAGAGTATTTACTGCTTCATCATGATACAACAACTCTTTCTCATAGCCCCACAGAAAAAAATCGCAAGGCGTTAAATCCGGGGAGCGAGCAGACCAGGAAATGAGTAGATTCCGCCCTATCCATCTATTCGGAAACTCATTATTTAGATGTCCATGAACTTCTCTTCTAGAATTTGGTCTATCCCCGTCATGTAGGAACCGCATACTCTGTCTCACTTTTAGAGGAACATCTTATAACTGTGCCAGATTGTGTCGAAGAAAATCTAAATAAATTTCACCGTGCAGTCGAGGTGGGAAAAAGTATGGTCCGATAAGTATGCCATTTACCACGCGAGCTCAGACGTTTAATGAAAATCTATGTTGAAAATGTGATTTACTACTGCCCAAACATGATCGTTGTGGAAATTGTGCACTCCATTTCGTGTAAATGTGGCTTCGTTTGTACACAAAATTAATTTCGTAAAATCTGTATTTCTGAAGAACCGTTCTAAAAGCCACTGGCAAAATACAACTCTTCTAGGATGATCTTCAGGTTGCAACGCCTGTACCCGTTGATAATGATAAGGATAATATTGTTCTTGTCATATTGTCTTCGACACTTTAGTATGAGAAACTTCAACTTGAGCTGCTATGGCTCTATACTCATTGTTGGGTCGTCTTCGACTATTTATAAATTGTCTTCCTTAATTTGCAACATTTCAGGTTGAGTAGGTCTTCAAGCGTGACCTCCTTGTTGTTTTTTAAATACCCTGGGCCACGAAGTCTAATAACTAAATTTACAAACATCCGTGGGGCCGGTTGATTTCTTAAAGGAAACCTTTCCGCATACAATCTGCATGTTGCAGCTGCAGTTTGTTGGCACTCTTACGTACGTTAGTATTATGACCGCTAGTTCATTGGGCCAATAATCAGGCAAATAAAAGTATACGCACTATTAAAAGATTGATACAACTGATCGTACCGGACTCATACTGAAAACCATACAATAACACAAAAAGTTTGTCAAATTTAGATAAACGATAAGAGTGGTAACCAAAAAAAAAATGCTAAGATTTTACTTGGCAGCTGTCGAGAATATAAAAAAGTTGTGTAATATTCTAATTTTTTAATCTTTTACTATTTCTTTTATTATGCAACTTTCATATAGATGATTTTTGGTATATCAACTCCTACAAGCAGTTGAAATAAATTATTCAACTTGAAAAGACCCTCTATGTATAGTATCTAAATCTCGCCTCCTGAAACAAAGACGTTAATTATTATTATTATTATTTTACTTATGTCAAAAAACTGAGTCATCAAAAAACAGCTATTTTCAAAACTGCACATCTCTCTCGTCCTTGGCATAGTCGTAACCTTGTGTAAAAGGTTTATCGAAATCCGACCAGTACTTCCACTGGCCCAGGATTAGCGGATAGACCGATCGACAGACAGACGGAAATGAGTGACATGGTTTTTCGTGATCTATGTCATATAATGTTTGAAGCCGTGGAAGAAAAATTATTTCTAGATAGGGATGTTTTGAGGAGTAAAAGAAAACGCCCCATTAGATGACAATGAGATAACAATAGAAATCTTTATAGACATAGAACGTGCGTTTATGCATAACCTATGCCTAAAGCAAGCTCAGACAACGTGGCCGTATCTAACTCTTGCTCTTTTCTGTTAATGTCATCTGTTAATTAGCTGGTTACTGAACTGGTGGAAATTTGCTTTGCAACATGGAAAATTTTACTCAAATTCAAATCTCGATATTGTCGGAACGGAAAGAGATATCGAGTTGCGGTATTCGGGAGGTTCTTGACCAACTCTGAGAATACGTACAGGGTGAGCAAAGGAAGTCAGTTTTTTTGACATTATGTAATTTAAATCGAATACATAAATTTTACTATGGAATTAAACAGTTTAATGAACAAATTCAAGTTAATACACTTAATATAGGGGTGTTTTCCAGTCAGAAAAGCAAATAACTTAAACAAATTTATTTTTCAAAATGCTTGTCAACATTGCTATTACATACTTCTTTTATCTACGATTTTTTATCTTTCTTATTCAGCATTGGTGTACGCGTCTTCATTGGAGATGTTTTCCAATAGGTGATAGACTCTATTTAATTTTTAAACAGCATCAAACAATTTATTGATTAACATATATGTAAAAATTTAGAAAACAAAAATTTGAAGACCAGTTAAGTTATTTATTTATGCCAAAAAGGAACTTTTTACAAAACAGCAACAGTTATTTTAAACAATAATATTAGTACCTTGTAGGGCCACTCCACACATCGATTACAGCCTGGCATGTTCGTGGCATACTTTCCAGAAGGTTATTATTAAATTCTCTGGATATATTTTTCCACTCTTCCTGGTTTGAGGAGCATTCTGGCTTGACCACACTAAAATTTTTAGCCGAGACCACACATGCTCAATTATGCTTAGGTCTGGAGACTTTGATAGAAGAGGCAATAATTATTTTCTGCCAAAAAGCTTATAACCGTACGAGCTCTGTGCGGCCTGGCGTTATCATCGATGAAGACAAAATCTTGTGCAAAAGGTACAACAGTATTGTTGGAAATGTCTCTGACTGCAGCATTGACTGTCCTTTTTGAAATAATGAGTTCGGTTTTACCTTTGTGCATAACCCCTGCCCACCTCCACAAAACGCCTGTTGTGGAACCATGTTTTCTTCATCATATCGTTTCCCAGCTTTCCTCCAAACAAGGACCCTACCATCAGAGTGGTATAGGTTGAAGCGTGTTTAATCGGAAAACAAGCAATTTTGCCACTGCTGATGCCAATTTACCTGTGCCGTGCCCACTGGTTCCCGGCGATTCTATGATTGTTGAAGAGTCGGGTACACTTGGCGCGGCGCCTTTCTCTGGAAGAAACGTTACTTCAAAAAAGTACCTAGATAAGTTTTATAACATTTACATACTTCAACAAATCAGAATTTAAAGTTCTTCTTACAGTGCGATTCGATGCTATTATTCCACTGTGCCGCCGTAAGTTTTCATTCATGATTCTGGATGAAACGGTCCTCCTTCGCCTTA